CATTATGCAGTTTTTCTTACTATAGCTCTGTAGTGTAATTTGAAATCAGGTATTGTGATGCTTCCAGCATTGTTTTTTTGGCTTAAAATTATTTTGACTCTTCTGGGTCTTTTGTTTTTCCAAATGAATTTTAGGATTTTTTTTTTTTTTTTTTTTTTGTAGTTTTGTGAAGAAAGTCTTTGGTGTTTTATTAGTAATGTAAGTTCAATGCCATTATTGTTTACTAGGAACAACTAATGAGTTGTGAATATTCACTGATACTATACAGACTAATCTCTTTTTTTGATGGGTATAAATGTTTATTGTTTTGTCAGATAGAATTGCTGAATATAAAATATTGTGTGACACTGTATAATCATCATCGCTGCATTAATGGATGTTCACAAGTATTAAGTGCATCCTAATCTTGCATGAAAGACAGTTTAGTAATAAATGATGTTTAAATAATACCAGCACATTAAAAAAAAAAAAAGAACAGCTCCAGATAATGATACACCCACTTTTTTTGAAAAAAAAAAAATTGGCATAGAATCTCAACAATTTTCCTAAAATATGGTAATAGGTAATCAGTCTTAGTGGTCAATCCCATTGCATAGTTCAGTTCTTCCTGCATGATTTTTCATCATGTTGATCATTAAGTTCACTTAGCTTCTAAAAGAGTTACCTAAGAAATTTGTCGTCTCCAACTTTTTTTTTATGTGTACATATATCTTTTTGTAAAAAAAAAAAAAAATGAAAAAGTTGCAATTTCTTTCCATTTTAAAAATTCTAGAATCACATGTATACTTCACTAATGTAAATGATAATAGAAATAAATCTTACTTATGACTTTTTTATTGTGATAAAATACAAAACTGACCATTTTAACAATTTTCAGTTGTATCATTCTGTGACTTTAAGTACATTCACACATTCTTGTTGCAATCATTACCTCCATCTATCTTCAATACTTTTTATCTACTCAGACTGTCCTCCTTCAACATAAATCCCCATTCCCAACTTTTCTCAGGCCCTGGAAACTGTCGTTTATTTTCTGTCTCTATAAATCAATCAATCTCTCTCTCTCTCTTTCTCTCTCTCTCTCTCTCTCTCTCTCTCTCATAGTATTGGGGATGAAACTATGGGGTACTCTCCATTGAGCTACATTCCCAGCTCATTCTATTTATTTTATTATTATTTTTTGGTATCAGGAATTGAACTTGGGGCATTAGTGGTTACTGAGCCACATCCCTATCCCTTTTTGTTTTTTATTTTGACACAGGGTTTCTCTAAGTTGCTTAGGGCTTCACTGAATTGCTGAGGCTGGCCTTGAACTTGTGATCTCTCCTGCCTCAGCTTCCCAAATCCCTGGGATTTCAGGCATGTACCACCACACCTGGTCTTCTTATGTTTTATTTTGTATTTTGAGACAGGGTCTTGTTAAATTACCTGTGCTGGCCTGGAATTTGCAATCCTCCTGCTTCAACCTTCTGAGTTTCTGGGCTTATAGGCGTGTACCATCATGCCCTGAAGTATTTTTCTTTTTGTGCCTGGTTTATTTCACTTAGCAGCATGTCTTTAGGGCTCATTGTGTTGTAGCATGTATCAGAATGATCTACCTTTTTAAGGCAGAATCATACTATGATATAAATGTATTCCACATTTATTTATATAGTCATCTGTTGATGGACATTGGTTGATTCTACGTTTTGGCTTTTGTGGAATAATGCTGCTATGAGTGTTGATGTACAAATATCTGTTCACATTCCTGCTTCCAATTCTTTTGAGTTGTTAGATCACATAGTAATTCTACATCTAATTTTTTGTTTGTTTGTTTTGGTCCTGGGAATTAAACCCAGTACCTTGTGCATACTAAGCACATGATCTACCATTGAACTGCACCCTTAGCCCCATATCTAATTTTCAGGGAACCACTATAGAGTTCTCCACAGCAGCTGCACCATTTTACCTTTCTACCAGAAATGCCCAAAGGTTGCAGTTTCTTGCAATTCATTTTTTATAATTTCTTGTTCCACTTAACTAGCAGTTTGAAGTGTTACCTAAATTTGTTTCACTGATTTGATTTAAATTTGCTTAAAATTGTTTTACAGTCTATGTATCCATGTTGCCTCATCTGAGAAACTGAGAAAATATTGGACCTAAATTATAGAGCTTTATTGTGGATTGTTGGATCTTAGGCTCAGTGGACTGGACTGAATAGTACTAGTGCTGTAATTCAGTCTACTGAAAGTGAACCTTACCCATGCTTGTTAATAGCCATGGGAGATACAGAAAGAGCTCATTATACCTTTTGGAATATTACTGTAGTTTTCTGGTTTAAGCTCTTGGGAAATAGATGCTTCTCAATACCTTCGATTTCTCCACTTTAGGTTTTTGACTGAAGCCAGGAATTAGTACCCCTCAATAAATGTTTTTGAACTGAGTTAGACACTGTGGTTCCTGCTTACAGAAATTCCTTGCTTCTCCTCCTATTCAGTCCTATTGGAAATCTAAGATACTCCTAAGTCATCCCTCAACTACCTTTAGTAACTGCTTAAAATTCTGCTTCCTCTCTGAATTTATTTGTATTTATAGCCTCTGTTACTGTTATCTTTGAGAAAATCTTACTGTTTAAATTCTCCTATGTAAAGTTGTTCCCTTAAAACCCCCCACTACTTAATGTTTTGATCTTAGAAACCTTTTGTTACAACTTCTAAAATTGAAATTTATTTACTTTAAAAATGTGAGGAGGGCTGGGAATGTAGCTCAGTGGTAGAGCACTTGCCACATGTGCGTAAGACCCTGGGTTCAATCCCCAGCACTGCGATAACAACAATAACAACAGCAACAAAATAAAATTAAAATGTAATGAATGCATTTAAAAACCAGTATTATCAAAGGAGGATTTCTTGAGCAGAGGTATGGTAGTAGGTGGATTGAAAATAACTAATTTTTTCTCTTTTAGAAGGCCATGTATGTCAAGTGGTCTTCGAATTTCCTTCTTTGTTGCTGCTGTTAAATGTGATTTATTAAGCATTCTGTATCTCTTAATAAAAGGAGTGCTAAGTTATCAGTCTATTGATACATCCTGTTGTACTTTGAGATTTAATCTTGTATGGCTCTGAATAT